CAATTTATTACTCATTTGAACATCTGGAACAACTGGTTCTTGTCTCTGGTTTGCAGGTTCCCATACCATGAGACCACATTAAAGGAAACACTGTGGACCAGTGAGCACCAGCTGCAGGGCGCTGGCTTGTGTTGACGCTCCGTCACACAAGGTGGAGACGATGTAAATTCCATCAGCGTGGGGTCAACCTGTTGTCCGTTGTTGTTCCAAGGTATTTAAATTCAGACACCTGCTCCACTTCCTGTCCTTTTATAACTCAACGCCTGGACACAGGTCTGATGCTGCTGCTCCCAGTCTGCCTCCCAGACAAAGCTCCTGGGTTTTACTGACAAAGTCCAGAAAACTGGAACATGGCGGCGGATCAGTGAGCTGCGTTTTGCCAGGCTCCCGTCAGCCCCGCTGAACATTTGTGTATCCTCGCTGCCCCCCCCCCCCCCCCACACCCCCCACGCTGGATTCTGCTCTGAGGTTGTTGTGACTGACTCGACAGACCTGTGACGTGGCCTCTCAGCTAAAGAACTCGAAGCAGCTGTGTCTTCACCTGCGCGGCCCTCGTCACAGCTGCAACCTTGGACTGATGGAGAGGCAGGGGGAGCAGGTGTGTCGCCCCGCCCTCGCCGGGCTCTGGAGAGACAGTCGAGTCGGTTCTGAAGTCAGATCTTCTGGCTTCAATTAAATCTGAAGTCAGAGTGATAATTAGGATGGAGACGACGGCGGCTCTGACGGGTGATTTTAATTTGAATTCGGAGCGAGCTGCAGGCGGTGCGAGCAGAACTTGTGAATGACATCTCGGGCCTGAGAGCAGAGTTTGACCAAGTCAAGCTAAGTGTAACAGAGGCTGAGAATGGGCCGTCTTTATGCTCAAATGAGGTGGAGGCTCTGCATGGGACCGTGGTGGAACTGAAGGATGAGGTGGATGGGCCGAGAAAAAGGCTCAAATATGTGAAAGGAAATATGAAACGTAACGTTAGGATTGTTGGAGTTCCTGAACCGCCGGGCTTGTGCACCCCAACAGCGATAGCCAAAATGCTAACGGAGGTGCTGAGGTTGAGCAAGTTGCCGGTGACTGATCACGTGTATCGGACACCAGGCAGGAGAGGCTCAGATGGTGGATCAAGAGTTATTGTGGCCAGGCTTCTTTATCATCAAGATGGTGTGGAGATATTACAATGAGCACGCAGCGGTGGCCCGATCTACTTCAACAAATCCTCCATGTCCATCACAGCTGATTACACACCAAGCACAGCAAAGGTACGAGCGATGTTTACGGAGAAGAGGCGACTCCTGCGGAACTGACCAGCCGTCTGGTATGGACTTCTTTTTCCTGTGATGAAGCCATTCTTTCATTAGACGCAGAAAAAACATTTGACCGGGTGGAGTAGGGTGATCTTTTCAAGGATTTAAAGTTACAGTGCCTTGCGAAAGTATTCGTGTCCCTTGAACTTTTCAACCTTTTGCTACATTTCAGGCTTCAAACATAAAGATATAAAATTTAAATTTTTTGTGAAGAATCAACAACAAGTGGGACACAATCATGAAGTGGAATGAAATTTATTGGATGTGTCAAACTTTTTAACAAATAAAAAACTGAAAAGTGGGGTGTGCAATATTATTGGGCCCCCTTGCGTTAATACTCTGTAGCTCCGCCTCTTGCTGCAGTTCCAGCTACAAGTCTCTTGGGGTTTGTCTCTGTCAGTTTTGCACATGGAGACACTGAAGTTCTGCCCATTCTTCCTGCAGAACAGCTGGAGCTCAGTGAGGTTGGATGGAGAGCGTTTGTGAACAGCAGTCTTCAGCTCTTTCCACAGATTCTCGATTGGATTCAGGTCTGGACTTTGACTTGGCCATTCCAACACCTGGATACGTTTATTTGTGAACCATCCCATTGTAGATGTGTCTTTATGTTTTGGATCATTGTCTTGTTGGAAGATAAATCTCCGTCCCAGTCTCAGGTCTCTTGCAGACTCCAACTGGTTTTCTTCCAGAATGGTCCTGTATTTGGCCCCATCCATCTTCCATCAAGTCTGACCATCTTCCCTGTCCCTGCTGATGAAAAGCAGGCCCAGACCATGATGCTGCCACCACCATGTTTGACAGTGGGGATGGTGTGTTCAGGGTGATGAGCTGTGCTGCTTTTACACCAAACATATCGTTTTGCATTGTGGCCAAACACTTGGATTTTGGTTTCATGTGACCAGAGCACCTTCTTCCACATGTTTGGTGTCTCCCAGGTGACAAACTTTAAACACTTTTTATGGATATCTTTGAGAAATGTCTTTCTTCTTGCCACTCTTCCATAAAGGCCAGATTTGTGCAGTGTACGACTGATTGTTGTCCTATGGACAGACTCTCCCACCTCAGCTGTAGATCTCTGCAGTTCATCCAGAGTGATCATGGGCCTCTTGGCTGCATCTCTGATCAGTCTTCTCCTGGTTCCAGATGAAAGTTTAGAGGGACGGCCGGGTCTTGGTAGATTTGCAGTGGTCTCATACTCCTTCCATTTCAATATGATTGCTTGCACAGAGCTCCTTGGGATGTTTAAAGCTTGGGAAATCTTTTTGTATCTAAATCCGGCTTTAAACTTCTCCACAACAGTATCTCAGACCTGCCTGGTGTGTTCCTTGGTCTTCATGATGCTCTCTGTGCTTTGAACAGAACCCTGAGACTCTCACAGAGCAGGTGCATTTATACGGAGACTTGATTACACACAGGTGGATTCTATTGATCATCATCAGTCATTTGGGACAACATTGGATCATTCATAGATCCTCACTGAACTTCTGGAGTGAGTTTGCTGCTCTGAAAGTAAAGGGGCCCAATAATATTACACGCCCCACTTTTCAGTTTTTTATTTGTTAAAAAAGTTTGACACATCCAATAAATTTCATTCCACTTCACGATTGTGTCCCACTTGTTGTTAATTCTTCACAAACGATCAAAATTTTATATCTTTATGTTTGAAGCCTGAAATGTGTCAAAAGGTTGAAAGTTCAAGGGGGGCCAATACTTTCACAAGGCACTGCATTTACATTTGGTCCTAAATTTATTGATTTATAGCTGCCCAACGACGGCGGTCCGCACCGACTGTAACATCTAAATATTTTGAACTGCAACAAGGTACGAGACGAGTGTCTGCTCTCACTTCTACCTGCGCTGACGATAGAACCACTAGATGTAGCTTTACAGCAAAACTCCATCAAGGGGATGAAACGATGAGGTACAGAGCGGTTTCTTTATATGCGGACGACATGCTTTTGTACATATCAGACCCTCCTGAATTATTTACTTTGCTTCAGAAATTCAGGAAAATATCTGGCTACAAGGTTAATCTTCAAACGACCTCTACAGAAAGGAACATCTTAGACACCGTACCTTTTAAAATTAGTTAAAAAAAAATTTAAATACCCGGGCATGTGGGTAACTCGAGACATTATTTGAGACGTTCGTTTCCATCGTACCAACTGGACCGGAGTGGTTCAGTCTACCGCCCCACTCATCGTTATTAACCCCCGAGGGGTTCCTCATCATGGAGGTGGAAGGTCTACGACCGGCATCCTGACACCAGAGAACCTTTTCAGGAGGACCCGGCCTGTTGAGACGTTCCAAGGCTGGATCTGGCACACCTCGCCAGGTGAGGGACAATATGTCCTGCAATGTGGACCAGGTCCTGTGGCCTGACCCAGCTGGATGATGTGGTGCCGCCCGATTGTGCAGTTCCAGACCAAAACATGGCAGCCTGAACATTGTGTTTGGTTACAGTGCCTTTGTCCTCCGCGAGAAGAAGCTGAGGTGGAGAGCACCGAGACTTCATGTGTTTCAGAGAAGATGCAGAGACGTTTTGCTGCTTCGCCTCCTGGAGCCGAGGCCGAAACAAACAGGCGGTTAGTTCCATGAGCTGAAGCTGCAGACTGAAGCCGACGAGACGTTTCTTCATCTTCATTCATCAAACGACTCTTACAAATCTAAACACCTGGACCAGATCAGAACTCTGACCCAAACAGGAACAGATTTTATTCAACTTGTTTTTCACAGATTCAAACTTTAGGATTGTCAGAAAAATCATTTGGATCAAAAACTGGATCAGAACCCAACAGAACTCTGGTCTGTTCATTCTTTCTGTGAAACCTTAAAATGCAGAACAACAAAACGTTTTTTTGGAGATAATTTGGTTCCACTGCAGGTTCTGAACTTTGATTCATTGGAGTTTGGACCAAACCTGATGGTTCTGATTCAGACCCAGAGTCTGACTGAAACCATTCAAGACACAACCTGATCCAGAAACATTAAACAAAAACACCTGTCCAGATGTGATCGGGTCATCAGGACTGGTTATGAAGGTCCGTTGGTTCTGAGACATCAGGACTCAGCTCCAGCCATCTGGGTCAGTGAAGGTTCTGGTCCAGTTCAGTAAAGCCACCTGCAGAACTGCCCAGTAAGAGCTTTGGTCCCTGGACCAGGACCAGAACCAGAACCAAAAAGATTCTGAAGAAAAAACATAAAATATAAAACTCAAAAATCTAAACGTTTAAAGCTTTGAGACGAAAACAAAGACCTGAAGCATCATGGGAAATTTCTGACAGGAAGAACCTCAACTTTACTCCTTCAAAATAAAACGAGCTTCCTGCTGGACATTCAGAGTCATTTTTTCAGAATAAAAGAAAAACATTCAGATCAAATTAATCTAAAACGGGTTTGATTTCAGGTTCTCTGAGTGGAACAAAGCAGCAGAACCGTTCTGACGCGATGCGTTCAAGGCCACCAGGGAAAATCAGACTTTACCTCAGGACACGCGTCTCTCCTGTGGACAGATTTGAAAACGTGGAAGACAAAAGAAGAAAGCGAAAGGTTCAGGTTGTGACAGGAAGGGAGTGGTCGAACGCGTCTCCTCCGATGTTTGAAACCGTTTTAGTGTCGGCAACTTTCAGATCAAACTCTCGTTGGGCCGTGATCGATCGATTATTTCCACACGTCTGAGAGTCTCTGGACGTAAAAACAGATAAAACCAACAGCAGCTGAAGCTCCGCCCACCAGGCGACGGGTAAATACGGCGTAACTGAACAGGAAGGACTAATCGGCTCCGTTGGCGAGCGGCGGGTTCAGTTTCTGCTCCTCCGGTTGGGCCGGGCCGCCGCTGGTGGGTTCCGTGTTCTGCTCCTTCTTGAAGGGGAACCCACTTGATCTCACAAAGAACACCAGGTCAGCAACAAACATGATGAAGGACAGGATCCCAAACACCTGAGGAGGAGGAGACAGGTGAGCAGAGGACAGACAGGAAGGACACAGGACATGTCCAGGTGTCCCCTCACCACAGAGATGATCTCCTTGCTGGAGCCACCGTTCTCCGCCGCGAAGACGATGGACGAGATGAGGAAGAGGAGCGCGATGAGGGCCGTGTAGACAAAGTCCTGCAGGACAGAAGAACAACAACAGCTGACGGGTCAGAACCAGAACTGGACCCGTTTGTGTAAAACAGGTTCTGCAGCGGCGTCTTACCACTTTGGGCCAACAGCTGATGCCGACCTTCTCGTGCAGGCAGGTGGAGAGGAGGAGGAGGAGCAGGCCGGTGAAGAGGAAGGCCGAGCAGCTGACAAACTCAAAGAAGTAGAGAGGAGAACATCTCAGGCAGCTGCTGATGGTCTCCTCCAGGACGAAGGTCACGAAGGACAGGAGCTGCAAGACACCAGCAGCTGATGGGTCAAACAGTGTGGGACACAACCTCAGCCTCATGAAGACCACGGCTTCATCGGGTCGATCCAAACCCGATTCAAGCTTTAACAGTACAAACACGGGGCTGATGACCAACCAGAACCACCTGAGACCACCCTGAGGTCTCCCTCATTAAAGACATTAAAAGCCAAACAGATCCAGTATCCAACAAGAAGAGACAGATCTACCTGAAGACCTAACTCCAACTTCCTGACAGACCTCGGCACGTCAGAACAGGCACCTCAACATCCTCCACTACCGTCCGGTGTTCCCCAGGGCTGTGTTCTGAGCCCACGCTTGTTCACCCTGTAGACCCAGGACTATGTTGCCACCAACAACTCCAGCAGGCATCAGATTTGCTGATGACACGACTGTCACAGTGTTGATCAGCAACAACGAGGCTCCATGCAGAGAGGAGGTCCAGGTGCTGACTGCTCAGTGCAACCAGAACAACCTCAACCTCCTCACCTGTGGTCCCTCCCTGAGTGACACTGGCTGAAACTAGTCGACTCAACGTTCCAAGCAAATTACAATGTTCCTGTCCGTTTTTAAACGTGTGGCGTGGCAGGAGACAAAGAGTCCAGATCTGAGTCCGATTCTGTAGTTCTGTTAAAAACCTAACCAAGACTCCATCCTGCAGAATGGACCTGTCAGCCCAACCTGGAGCCAGACCAGGATCAATAAAGAACCTAGAGGAACTGGAACAAGAAAAAAACAAGAGGTTTTCTTTGGGTCGTGGTTCATGTTTCAGAGCTCAGGAAGTTCTGCTAAGAGCTCACACTGGTCCATGGTTTCAGTCTAAGAACTGAACCTGGACTGACTTTCTCCTCTGTGGAGTCCAGATGTTAAAGAGTTTTATTTTGAAACTCCAGACTCCGACTTTTAAGGTGTTAGAGGTCAGAAATTGTTCAGGGATTAGGTCCTCAGGGTGAATAAAGTTCAGAGCTGAAGGGTTTCTGCTGACTGATCCCTGAACGTCCTCTTTCTGTCCAGAGTCCTCAGGGGCCGGATGCAGGCCTCCAATCCCCCCTCTGCCGTTGCAACAGAGGAGGTTCTGAATGAAACAACCAGGGTCAGCAGGACCCAGTTCTGCTGATGAAGCAAATGGACATGAACGCAACACTTTCAGTTCTCCGTCTGCAGCTTCCTGCAGGAGGACGAGGATTTCATCAGAGGACCCAAAACCAGCCAGAAACCAAGACCTGGGTCCAGACCCAAAACCACAACCAGACACCAAGACCTGAGTCCAGACCCAAAACCACAACCAGACACCAAGACCTGGGTCCAGACCCAAAACCACAACGAGACACCAAGACATGGGTCCAGACCCAAAACTACAGCAAGACACCAAGACCTGGGTCCAGACCCAAAACCACAACCAGATACCAAGACCTGGGTCCAGACCCAAAACCACCGTGAGAAGTCAAGACCTGGGTCCAGACCCAAAACCACAACCAGATACCAAGACCTGGGTCCAGACCCAAAACCACAACCAAACACCGAGACCTGGGTCCAGACCCAAAACCACAACCAGACACCAAGACCTGGGTCCAGACCCAAAACCACAACAAGACACCAAGACCTGGGTCAAGGCCCAAAGCCACAAGACACCAAGACCGTGGTCCAGACCCAAAACACCAAATCAAGATTTGAGTTCAGACCGAGAACCTTGTGGGTCAAAAACCACTTATATTGTCATATTTACCTTTTGTCAACAGACAAACACTTTGATGTTGCCATGGAAACCAGGCTGACCAAACAACCTGAGCTTTTTCTTCAACTTGGGTTGAAACAACACCCGTTCCACCTGGGCCATGATCAAAGTACTGCTCAGGTCCTTCAGACTGAAGGTTCTTCATCGTTCACCTCTTTTTGTATGAATTTCTGGGTCCAAGTCAAAGTTGGACAGAGGTGGAGACATGAAGAGGACGTGGTGTGTTCGATGTCCAACAGTTTCTCCTCCACCACATCACTCAGAGGTCAACAAGTTGTTTTACCATCAGTCCCGAAATGGAAAAAAACTCAGCCCCAAAAACTAACAGTCAGTTTTTAAAACGAAGAACTGGTTCTTGCTGCTACTCCTGCGGGACATCAGAGGACCAGGACCAGGAGCTGCTGGGTACCTGATCCTCAGAGGAAAAACATCCAGCTGTGTGTTAATACAGCGCCAAGACAGAAAGACATCAGCAATGCCCTCAGAGAAGCAGCTGTCCATCAAGCTGGGAAAACTTAACAGGTCATTAGAGTCCACCGTTCTTCAGTGAAAAAAAATATCCACCCTGAAGGTCAGACTGTGCAGTGACTCTACAGGCCTCAGTCAAAGGTCATGACCTCTCCCCTCTAAATACAACATGGCAGCTCGACTTAGGTTGTAAAGTTTCATCTGAAGGAACCACAAGACTTCTGGACCAGAACCAGAGCAGAGGACAGATGTTTACCCAGAATGCACTGCAGCAAACAGCTCCTCCCAGCTGTCAGCACAGTGGTGGAGTCTGATGGTCTGGGGGTTCTTCAGTCTCTGAGTGGACCAGGACTCCTCTGGAGATCAAAGGGTTCTGGAGTCAATTGAGTTCATCTGTCTAACAGCTGAAGCTTGGACCAAACTGGGTCCAACAGAACCATGGTCCCAGACACAGCAGCTGATCTATAACAGAACGGGTCAGAAAGAACAGAACCATGGTGCTGATGTAGTCCAGTCAGTGTCCAGAACCTGAACCTGGTGGGACCTTCAGAGAGCTGAGCAGAGACCTCAACAATGGAAAGACGAGTGGACCAGAACTCCTCCAGGACCATGAGAGAGACTGATGTAGTCCTACAGAAACCCATTGAAGGTTCTGGTTCTGGATCAGGTGTGGAAACAGTCTTCCACTCCCACGTTCAACATTTAGTTTGTGTTTATTAAGGACTGAGCTGGTGCAGCGTGCCATGGTTGGACTCGGACTGTCGGACCTGGAGAGGAGACGGTTTCTGTTCTACTTGGTGGACTGAGCCCTCAGGCCGTTTCTCGTGTTCTGGATTCAAACCCAGGATGTTCTGGTCGTTTCTCCAATCAGGAACCACCACGAGCTGCAGCAAAGGGTTCTAAAGGCCAAACACGACAACCTGATGAGCAGGCAGAGACCAGAACTGAGTCCAGGAGTCCAAAGTCTGCAGTTTGGACGTCAGCTTCAAAGAACAGGGACAATAAAGAGACGCAGTTTCTAACTCTTCTTCATGAGACAAGGTGGTTCCAAAACAAACCACCATCCCTCCACCGCCGTGCTGATTAGAAATGTCTTTTCAGGACGTTCGTCAAGAAGTAAAAATGGAGAAACCTTGAATTAGAGCAGAATCTGAACTAAGAGATCTGCAGAGTTCAGGGAGGTTAGGTTCTGGATCAACCACAGAAACCACGAGTCCAAACAACACGAGTGACTCAGAACAAGAGGAAAAAGTCACACATGAGAAAAGCAGAAGCTGAAGTGGGGTCTGTTGGGAGCAGCAGCAGGAAGGAGGTTTGAGTTCAACTCCAACACAAACCAACCGTTCCTGACCACGTGGCGTTCAATTGCATCAGGATAAAACAAACACAAGGCCTATGAGACTATCAAGTCATGTAATCATGTATCATCGCACATGAGGCCGCTGGGCCTTGGACCAGGTCAGAAACACATGGACTAGGCCTGTCACAATAAATGTTGCTGGGCGATTAATTGTCTCAGAAATTATTGCGATAAATGATAATATTGTTTGAAATTTGACAATAATTTGTAATTATTGTCAAATTTAAGAAGATATATTGGTTAATTTCTGTGTGTAGTACCTTTTTTGACCACTGGATGGTAGGAATGTGCGAAATGGCATAAAATTCATATCACGATATGTATTGTGAAGGGTGGCAATAACGATATATACCGCAATATGTTTTGGGTATAAAACTTGCTAAAAAAAGCATAGGGGGTCCTTTTGCCATCACATATTTTGAATTAAGAAAATTCCACTACTAGGTCCAGAGAGTTTTTAAATAATAAACAAATCAAGTATTAGGCTTCCTGCTTGTAGTGCAAAACAGTGAAAAAGATATAAAATGTAGTTTTAGCCATGTGTTTTAAACAGAAGAATGTGTTCTGATGCATGCTCAATAATCCAGGTAGAAAAATCCAAAAAAGTTCAATCTGGTCCTCTGGACCTCGCTTTGTTTTTTTTTTTTTGAATGTCCAGAGGACCAGATTGAACTTTTTTGGAGAAGAATGTGTTGTTAACAGTTTCCAGTCTCACTTCAGAAATGAGCAGCAACAGAAACACTTCACCCTCCAACCTCTAGATGGCGCCTCCTTCCGCTTTAATGGAGCTGGCACAAAATGACTCTGTGGCTTTGACCAGAGTCTCGCAGTAAAATCACACAACACAACGTTCTTTTCACAGATCAGAGAGCAGGTTTCTCTAACGCTGACCAACGCTGACTTTAACTTTCGATGGGAAAAAAAAAAACTTTCGAAGGAACTCAGCATTTTGCGCATGCATCAGAATACGACAACACTACGGCAAGCCGGCTGTAGTTAGTTTGTAGCTTCGCTACTTAGCCCTCGAAGAAAAGACTTTAACGCCACTTGCGCAGTTTTCAGCTCAAAAAAAGTAACGATTAAATCTGACAGCTCTGATTTTACACTTGAACACCACTTATGCACAGTTGAACAAACAAAAGTAACGATTAAATCTGACAACTCTGATTTTACTTCAGACACAGCGTTACTGCGGTTAGCCGCTAGAAGACAGATCTCTATCTTCGGCTAAATTTCTATTGTTTCTACCGTATAACAATTATATCGCGCATTCCTACTGGATGGCAGTATAAGACTGTTTGAACCGAAGGATGGATAGTGAGGGAGCGAGCAGCGTGTCTCTTTAAGAAAAATGGGAGGGAGGGCTCTTGACGTGACATGGGCTGTCTCTCTTCAGTTCTCAAAATGGCGGACGCTCGGTGTGATTTGAGCTCTTTAGCATTTTTCACACAAAGCTTTTAATTAAAAAATTCAGTAAACAAGTTCTCAGATTATTTTTCAGAGAAAAACAACTTTTTACACGAAGGCACGAGTTTCAACTGTGAATTTTGGAGCTTCGACAAGACGGAGGTTTTTCCCCAAGGTCGGCCTGTTAGCTTAGCTCGTAGCTTAGCTTCTCAGCTTAGCTGCTTTTAATGATCAAAAAAAGTGATTTTGGACGTTAAAACAGATTTTAAAGAGAAAAGAGAAGGGGAGGGGTCAGTGAAGAACCAGAGTTGAATCTTTTGTCGTCCAGTGTCTTCAGTAGAAAGAGAGACACGAAGAAACGATGAAGCTGATAAATGAAAATGAGGTTGATAATTTTCATTTATCATGCGATTAATTGATTTATTGTTTATTGTGACAGGCCTAACATGGATCACATCAGACACACCTGGAACACATCACCTGGACCACATGAGACACATCTGAACTTGGTCAGACACACCTGGACCTGGTCACATACACCTGGACCAGGTCAGACACACCTGAATTACGTCAGACACACCTGGACCAGGTCAGACACAACTGGAACATGTCAGACACACCTGGACCTCGTCAGACACACCTGGACCACATCAGACATACCTGGACCGGGTCTTGATGACAGCACCCAGAGAAGAACTCTGAGTTCTCAAAGTCAGATCATTCAAACGTGCTCTGTTGGAACACTGAGGAGATGAAACGAACTTCATACAGCTAAAAGAAGCAGAACACCAGCTAAAAGCTACAAGAAGCTAAATGCTAACAAAAAACAAAGAAAGTAGCTGAAGCAGATTTGAATGTTTTTGAGAGAATTAAATAAATCTCAGTGTAATTCTGAGGTTAAAATGTGTAAAACTGGTTAAATATTTTTAAAAGTATAAACGTTATGAACAACTAAATGTCACAGCAGCCATCGGCTGAACGAGCCAAATGTTTTGATGTAGGAACGGCTAAAATAACACAAAGTCAGCAGAAGGAGTTGGGTTGAAAATACGTCTGATAAGAGTGAGCGTTGAGACAAGTCAACATTCAGGACTCACCACTTCCAGGAGCTTCACAAAGAATCGAGACTTGTCCAAAAGGTCCGACGGAATCCTGAAGAAGGACGGTTTGGGGTCCGAAACGGTTGTTGGAGCATAAACATCGTTAGCCATGATGGAGCTGAGAGACAGATGAGACAAACATCAGTCCACTGAGGACAAGTCAGAGACAGACGAGACA